AGGAGATGATGGAAAATTGGTCCTTTCCTTCAAGGCTTACGAGGTTACAATAAAAAGTACTTTTTATACATTATTGATGTTAAAATACCATTCACCTCTGCCTGCTTTCAGGTGAATTGGTTTGAGATGCAGCCTGGGCTGACTGCTTGGATAGCAGCACACACCTGCTGTGAGGAACAGCACCAGACAGGCAGCTTGGCCCTTGCCTGACTCCAGGAGAGCTCTGATCACATTTGATTCTTTTTAAAAACCAGCCAGCTTCTGCCTATCCAGGCAGCCCACAAAACTATCGGTCTCTCCAGCCTGGTCTTGTCTGTTGCTTCAGGGAGTAGGCTCAGTTTCCCAGGGAACAGCTTCTTCCACCTGGTTTGAAGAGAAAGATTTGGAAAATGCTGGGTTTTTTTCCAAAAGGGGGAAAACCTGATGTTTAACTTCAAAAAGGGAAAATTGATTGGGACGTATTAATTTTAGTTCTACCTGCTCTACCCCAGGTAATCCAACATAAAATAAATGTGTATGCAGTGTGCAGGCAGATGTGCTCCTTGTGTGAGGACTCAATTCCCTCCTGGAAGGTGCTGACCCTGTGCACCAGCAGTTTCAGGACCTTGCAGGCTGGAGCACTTGCCTCTTGTACAGTGCATCTGTCTGTGGAAGGCACAGACATCACAGCTCGAGCACAAAAGTCACCCCAAAAATATTCCAACAAAATATTCTTCTCAGCTCAGAAGGGTTTAGGTTGTTTTACAAGTCCCTGTAGATGAGTATTACTTTCTCCTCAAGTGATCATTCCAGAAGGTTGGAGGACTATTCATTGAGGCTAAACATAGATGGGGAATATTGAAAAAGGATAATTAGCCTCATTTTTGCCCCCCTTGGTCTGTGATTCCCCAGAGCTAACAACATTAAGATTGTGTGGAAAGTTTTGTAACTGTGTCAGGTCTAAACTGGGGCAGATTTCCCGAGTGAGGGCTCTGTCCTGAGTACGAGTGGTAAAGAGCTGGCGTTTTCAGAGCTTCCACTCTTGCTCTGCCTTTCCCAGCAGGAAGGTCAGGGAAGATGGTAACTTTGCACTGCTGTGATTAAGGATTTTAACTCTCTTCTCTGCTCCAAATCCCCTTATACCCAAATACCACCGTGTGCTTTCTCAGCCTGATGTGCACCAGGTGTTTGGTTAGGAGAGTGTAGCTGTGCTGAGCCACCTGGGGGTAAGTTGGAGGGATTTTGGCACTTGGGATGCATAAAGTTGCTGTTACACAGCAGACTACAGATAGAGCCTGAAAGCCTTCTTGATGTGCCTGTTTGTCTTTCCCAGCTTCCTCTGTCTTGCCTCTGGGGCCCTGCCTCCATTTCCCCTCTGGGTAAGGATGAAGCTCTGCTGATGCACTCCCCCGAGGGCTTGCAGGGCACCTTGCTCAGTGCTGAGCTGGGCACTGCTGACACAAGGCAGCCTTGGCATCCCCCTGGGAGTTCTGTTTCTGGCAAGCAGGGCTGGATTCAGCAGTGCTGAAGTGGAAGCACCTGAGCACTGCCCTGGGGCAAGTCCTGGGCTGTGGGTGTTGTGCTGTGCCATGGTGGGATGGACTGGGACCCTCCTCTTCACCCCTGGTGCAACACCAGAGTGCAGAAGGCAAACTGGTGTATTAGACTCACTCTGCCACTGAACTGAGGCATGAAAATTTGAGTTTAAGCCCCTTCTGAACACAGTGCTCATTCCAGCCTGTGTTGCTCCTTCCTTGTAGGTGCCTCTGTGGCTAAGGGGACTGCTGGGAGCACATCAAGCACTTGTTCTGAAATTCATATGCTGCAGTTCAGTACTGTGGGTGCTCTGTGGAACAGCACCTGGGACAGCCTGGGACTGTGTGTCATCTTCGTGGGGTTTGGTGCCCAGTGTATGTAACTGGGGCATTTTCCATGCATGTAGGTTGCAGCATTTCAGTTGGTAAATGTAAAAGGAATGGTGGTGATACCCACTGCTGGGCACCAAAACAACAGGGTGGGTGTGGGAATGCCTACATGCTTGGGTACCACTTTGAGCTCAGGTCAGAGATGAAGGGTCCTAAGGAGGACACTTGTAAGTACTTGAGGCAATTAGTGATATAGTTTCTAGCATGTTTTCCTTATAATAACTTCGAAATATGGAAGACATTTCTATTTTACAGTTGCACATCACCTTGTATGCTAGCATTATTTGTGCTACCAGGCTCCAGTGGGGTCAAAAAAAATTAATAATTGTTCTATGTTTTAGGAGTCTTATTATGCAATTTAATAGCAGAGCAGTCTAATGAAATCTCTGCGGGACAGTGATGAGAGTGAGGGGTTTTGTGTGTGAATTACAGGGGCTGCAAGTGGGCGAGACAGTAGCTACTTGTTTTATTGCTGACAATATACTTATTTTCATGTTTATTCCTGGATTACAATGTGTGAATAGCATCCTAATAAACAGTCAGGCAAATAGTTATTTATCAAGTATTTAAAAGTGAAAGGTCTTGCAATTTTCCTTAGTAATGACTGTGATTTCTTCCAGCTGGATTAATGACTCCCATTTCTCCCCATGAAGAACAAGAAGTGTTTTGGTTTCTACATGGAGAGAGTTATTGTCTCCCATAATAATGTAGAACAGAGGATTTCTTTTTCCTTCCTGGCCTGGGATCTGGGAAAGGTTGAAATGTGCATAACCTGAATTAATACCTTGTAAAGCTTTTAAATCTCTTTCGTCATTCCTGTTGGAGTGGGGCAGGACTTGCTGCTGGCATCAGCCCAGCAGCAGCCTGCCTCAGAGCAGCTTTTGTTTCAGTTTATGAGGCAATTAGTGGGTCTTGTGATGGAATTGCCTTGAAAGGTCACTTTTAATTACATTTCTGTCGCATTCCTCTGTCCCCAGCTGTGCAGTCCTGGTGGAACAGGTTGCACTGAGCTTTGCAGCTGAATTTCTGCAGCAGACAACTCCAAAAATGTATGCTAGAGCAGCTGCTGGCAGGCCAAAGGGAGCAAAGAAAATTGAACCAAGTGTCCTACTCTGTGCCCAGCCATTGCTGGCCCTGAGGTGTGGTGGAGGATGAGAGTATGGAAGCATAAGTAAACCCTTGGTAGCAACCTGTCTTGTGCCCCTGGCTGGCTGAAGTGTGTGTCGTTGAAGGCCTGTGCCAGCCCCTCCCTGAGCAGCGTTCTGAGGGGTTTCTCCTTTCTCAGCAGGGGACAGAGCTGGCTGTTCAGATGCTGCATTTGAAAATAAATAGACTGTGTGATTGTATTGATCTGAACTCAGCCCTCATAGTTGGGGGGGGAGTCCTGCCTTATTGCTGCATGAAAACACCAAGCTTACATGCCAGAGGAAATCCATGGCCATGGATTTGACTGCTGTATGACTGCTGCCTGATGGACCACTGTTGCTGAGGGCTGTGGCTCCATGGTGTATTTGGGGTGTTCTAAATTGTGATGATGCTGTAGCAAGGCTTTTGTTTCTTCCTGAACCGCTTTTCCCCTTTTCCCACCCCACTGCTTACCAATCTGATCAGCAAACACTTCTAAATATTCATAGTGTGGGATTTGTCTCTATCCACATGACTGCTGCTGGTTTCAAAGGCATGTGACAATGTGGGGGCAAACGGGGTTAATCTCCTCCTGTGCTGGCAGAACAAGGCTGAGCAGGAGTTGTACAGCACAGGAGTTTATTCTTACACCTTTTCCTCTGTATTTGCAGTCTCAGGAGAAGGAGGAAGAAAGTTTCAGATATTGATTCACTGTTAGGGTGGAGACATGGCTGTACTAGTTGTGTACAGGTTTGATTTCAGGACATCAGTGCCTCCAGGTTTAACAAAGAACTCTGTGTTGCTTTCCTTGATGCCAACCCAGCAGTAACCCATTTGGGGCTGCACCTCTCTGGGTTTCTCCATGTCCATCAGCCAGTTCTTATATGGGAGTTGCAGGGTCAGGTTGGTGGGTAGGAGGCAAGCAGTGATTAAGCCTGGCTTGTAACCAGAGCAGATCCCATGACCAGTGAGGCTTTCAGCCTCTCCTCTGCATTTTGCTCTAGACCAGGGATGAGCCTCCCCACCCTTGCTGGAGCAGATGCAGCCAGAGGCCCAGGCTGCAAGGGAGTGGGATGGAGGATCACATCTTTGGGCTCACTGAGCTGTGGGTCAGGCTGCCTTTGTGCCCACAGGGCTCTGGAGAGACTCACAGGCTTGTGGTCCAAGGGAGCAGAATTGTTAGCTTGGCAAGTTGAGGCGTTTCATTAAGAGCTACTGAGAGCGTGAAAAGTGTGTTGCTGGAGGCAGGTCATGGTAAATGAGGGGGCTAAAGTAGCTGGGGTTTTCTAACAATTAATTATTGAGTGGTTTTCTAGAGATTCTTTCTCATATTTGTAATTTATTCCCCGCTGTAGATGCCATATTGACTTATAATTTTTTGAAGTTCAATATTTTGCACCCTCAGGGCCTCAAACAAAAATTAACTAGAAAATGAGAGTGAATTTCTGCGTTCTGCCTTGTCAGAGCCTTCTCTCCCGTTCCCCATGCCTGGAGCCAGTTTCTGTGCTCGGGTTTGGGTTGCAGATGTTGCCAAGGCTGTGTGCCGTGGGCTGTGAGACGTGGGTGGCTGAAGAGCTGCCTCGCTGACCAACAACTGAGGAAATCAAGAGCCCAATTAAGAGCCTGGAATTGCCCCCAGTGACCTGAGGAGAGCATTTAGTAGCTGCTAGTGAGAAAGGCCTGCTTGAATGAATAAGAATTCCTATTGTTGGAAGAAAAAAAGTCCCCTCCTCCCCCAGCTCTAATTAGCTCCTCTTTTCCTTTTTTCTGCCATGAATATAAAGGGTTTGTCACTGGAATGAAATCTTAAAAAGATGCATGTTCTTCAGCTTGCAACTGATGGAGGTGATCTCTGTGCAGGGGCTGTGGAGACTCTTGTACCTGTTTTCTGTGTTTCCTTGCTGGATCTGTGGGTTTGCTGTTGAGCACAACTCTTCCTTACCCTCTGCTTTGTCTCTTTTCCTCCAACAGAGTGACTAAAGAAGTGGACTCAAACTCAAAGGAAGCTAAATCTTTTCTGAAGCAGCAAGAGAAACTGCAGTCAGCAGCTCCAGCTTCGCTCCCAACAGTCTCGGGGTGAGTGTGTGGTTTCCTTGCCCAGGTGTAGAGCCTCAGTGAGAAAGATGGCACTCGAGCCAATAATACAGGCTCTGCAGTATTCAGTGGGTGTTTGTTTCCTGCAGAGTTTCAGTGGGAGCAAGACTAGGCCTGGAAGGTGTGATGATTTGGGAAGGAGGTGGGGGAAGCAACCCATGAGTTCCAGTGACTCACTTCATGCGTTCAGGCTCACATTTCTCAATCCTCATAAGTCATTCATCCCAGTAAGGAAACAGTGGTTCAAATGTCTTGAGCAGCCTGATGAAAGTGCAGGTAGCCAAGGAACATGCCTGGGATTGCCTGCAGTTCCTTTGAGAGGTGCTTCTCAGGACTATAAAAAGCCATGACAGACTGGGCTGTGGCTTCTTACAAACTTTGGGTGAGCATTTAAATGTGAGATGTTTTTGCCTCTTTGATGTTCTCTAATATGATTTTGATGTGGATTTGTCACTTTCTGTTCAAGCTCTAACACCTAATTCTGAGATTATCATAATGCTTGCCACAGATACAAAGAGGTTGGGCCCCCTGTGCATCTGACGTGCCACTCTGGTTCTTGATGAGCTTGGGAGATCACCCACTTCTTAGGAATAGAGGAGAGGCTTCTGTGTTCCAGTGGTGATTTCTATTTAAGTCAGTTGTTTGCAGACTTAAGCTGCCTATGATTTGGTCACATAGAAACAATACCCATCAAATAAATACATTGTCCTTCCCATCTGCTGTAGAGCAATTCTGCAGTGTGAGTTAAGGCTGCCTTTCCCCGAGATACTGTTATTCAGTTGCTGCAGCTGGATTGTCACTCATTTTTCCAGTGTTGCATAGCTTATAGTTAGCTCAGGGTAGTGAAAGCACAGTGTGTGTGTGCGTGACCCTTGACAGCTGCTGTTCCCTGAGCTGAATGAAGGCATAGATGAACATAGTCTTCATGCTGTTGTTCACACTGCACAAGGGTTTGTCCCTGCAGAGCTCATTAATTGTAACCTAAGTGCTGTGTACAGGGTTTTGTGCTGGAAGACTTGCCGTGGGTTGGGCTGGCATTCTTTGTTCAGTTTTGGTGGCCAGAGGTGGTTCGGGTGGCAGCTGAAGCTGAGGCAGCTTCTTGCTGTGCACAATGCTGGTGGTCCCATGTCTTCAAACCTGCCTTCCAGTTTCCCCAGCAAATGCTCTGCTGCTCCAAGTGCAGGCAGGTTTGGCAGCCCACAGGGAAAGCTCCATGGGCTGTTCACCTTCCTGCTGTGCTGAGATCCATGTTTCCTCCTGTGTCTTACAGGCCCAGGGGGGAGCTGAGTGGCCAGTGGGCCTGCACAGCCTGGCCATTACCAAGGGGCTGCTTGTGCTGGAGCTCGGATTGCTCAGGAGCAATAGCCAGAGCCCAGTTTGAGCTAATGCTGCAGATAACTGAAGAATCCACATCAAATATGGAAAAAACAGGAGTAAAAATCAATATAAGAAATAACAAGTTCAAGGAGTCCTTTAACTTTCATCTAGTGTGATTATTTTGGAAGCAGCTTAATTAGGTCATTGTTCAGCTTGCTGATGTGTGATGCCCTGCTGATAGTTGCTTGCCCAGAACATGAGGTGACCTGGCCGTGGGGAAGGGAGGGGAAAAATCCCCTGGGCTTGTATATCTTGCCTTTCTTCAGAGCAGCAAACCCTGATGCAGCGCAGCCCCACGTGCCTTCCCTTTCACAACCTGCAGCAGCACATCCTACACCTACAGCAGTGATCCTACAGCAGAGGTATTTTGGTCAATGTGTGGAACAGCCCAGCATTCTTGATTCTTGATAGTGTGTGCCCTGTGGTCTGAGAGCAGTCCAGGGAGTTTGCTACATTGGGATAGTATCTGAGACTGATCCCTGAGACTGCCAGCAAACATGCTTGCTTTGGGCTTAGGAGGGTGCTTCCAGCTGGGAAGCCAGCCAGGGTATTTTCAGGTGAGAAAATTACTAGCAGGCTTGCGGTGTTCCTTAAAGCCAGAGGCAAGCCCCTTATGTTAAGAAAATTACAAAGATCAGGTTTTAGACTTAAGCCAAGCTATTATCCAGGCCCTGCTGCCCTGGAGCAAAGAGCCACAAGCCTCTGTGGCATGCCAGAGCAGTGCTTGGGGACTGACAGCCTGGCATAGCTTGACAGTTCTTTGCAAGTGCCCTTTGGCTACTTAAAATAGAAGTTTTGTGGGAGAGGGTGCATTTCTCCCTTGTGCATTACAGGAGAGCCCCAGCCTGGGGCAGTATCGCTGTAAGGCAGTGAAAACTGTGTGATTTTGGGATCCTCACTGTGCCTGTGGACACCCACTGTGCTGTGAGCCATTGTCAGCCCCCAGGAGCTTTGTCAGCTATTTAAAAAAAAAGCCTTGCCCTGTGTGCAGGGAATTCGAGCAGCTAAGAGGGGCCTCTCCATCTGGCTTTTCTTTCTTCACCTTGCAGGCAGCATGCATTATTTCTGGATGCAGCCAGCCTACCTTGCATTTATTTAATTCCCTTCTCTAAACAGACAGAAGTAATCCAGGGAAGTAACGGTCACAAAACCAAACATCCGGCTCCACATCTCTGTGTCACAAACCCTTACAGCCTTACTGGTCCAGGGGAGGGGATGTTTGGGGCTGAAAGTGCATTTCCTGAATGTGTTTAACATCCATACCGGATGTGCTATAAAAAGCTAAATTTGTGCTTGTGAGGGACATGGGGGTGGTTGGAGGAGAATAACTTAAACACTTGGCTGTAATTAAAGCCAGGAGTACAAAACAACCCACCCAGTTCTCTCAGCAGGCTTTGCTAGAAAGGTCAGAAGCCCTTGGTTCCCAGGGATGTGATGGTTTCCCAGCCTTCACATTATTCCATCGTGTCCCCCCGTGACACCCAGTTAGGCAGTGTTCTGTGGGCAGTGGGTATTGGTTTACTGCAGAGGTTTGGGGTTGTGATACTCTGTTCCAGTTGTTTCTGTTGTGTTCTTGGGTTGTGTTTGGCTCTCACTGATGCCATCGGGGGTATCAGATGTGATGAGGAAACTCACTGATTCCTTCTCATTTGCTGTCCCAATAAATGGGTGGAAGGCTCCCAGCATTCAAAAAAAGCCCTCCACCCACCCAGCTAAGCCTTCTTGCCTGTTTGTGTTTTAGGGCTCATTTCCTATCCTTAACCACTGCTGTAGGGCCTTTTGGGGACAGCAGGAGTAGCTCCTGGCTGTAAACCTGATGGAGGGATCAGTCAGCTTGGTGGGCATTCCTGGTGCTCCCAGAGCTGCTTTCTGTCCCCTCCCCAGGCCAGGCAGGACCCGTGAGCTGAGTCCCTCATCCTCTGCACTAGTAATCCCATTTTGCAACCAGCATTTCATATTCAAAGGCTGTTAAAGCAAATGAAATCCTCCAAGAGGCTTATTGCAAAATGACTGTGTGCATGTACTTGTGAGACACCACGGGGGGTTGAGCAGGGGCTGGGAGAGCCCTGCTCCGGCCGGAGCTTTGGTGGGAGCGGCTGCGACGTGCCCAGTGCCCGTCAGTCCCGGGCGCTTGTCAGGGCACAGCGGTGTTCCAAAGGGAACAGTGCTGCTGTAGCAGTCCTGAAAATGAAAAAGATGTACTTGGTGGATCTTATTTGAGATTCTCCTCTAGGCAGCTGTTTCTACACGGCCTGAACAGGAGCCAGGAAGAAAAAGAGGTTTTTCACCGGCTTTGTTCTTGCTGTTGCTTATTACCGAAACCATTTGTAATTAAACATGGACTTGCTCACTCAGCCCAGCTGTTGCTTTTCTGTTTGATCCTGCCTGAAATTACAGTGGTGGATGTGTGACCTCCTAGGCCTTTTCATGCCTTGTAGGCTGGTATAAACACAGGGTACAATTTGCCTTTGAAGCAGGCAGCACCGCTCCCACCGAGTTCAGGAGCTGCTGTGCTTGCTGACCCTGGGGCTGAGTTGGGTCTGCAAGCGTTTGGACCTTGGTACAAGACCCAGCAGGAAGAGGCACTGCAGGAAAGCTCTGACCCAGACACACATAGTTGCCCTGAACAAAGCCAGATAAATTCTAGCCTGTTCATGATGGATGCCTTCCTCCCTGAGCATACAGTAGAGCAGTTCACATGGACTGACCATTAAATGGTGTGAAAAGCTTCAGGCCTTTGCTTTTAGAAGTCCTTTACTCTGCTGCTAATGTTGGAGTAGAGGGACTCCAGCAGCAAGACGTGTTCATGTCTTCTCTCTGACCTTCAGTGTGCAGGAGGAGGTATGATGGCATTCTTTGTGGGAGGATAGGGATTGTGGCAGAACCTGGAATATGTTTGCAGCATCCTCTTAACTAGTTTCTAAGCTAACCTTCCTCTCCAGCCTGGCTTCTCCTAGGAGCTACTTTGCATCCAAAGCTTTATCTTGCAAAAGATGTTCTTTCTGTGTGAGTTGGCTGGACCTAATTGGATCCCTTTGCTGTCATGACCAGATCTGGTTACCTGAGATCGTAAGTGGGCACTGGTGAGGCAGGCACAGGGTCTCAGCTCCTGGAATCCTCAGATGATCCAGAGCAAGTGCTGCAGCACTCACATGCCTCCAAGGAGCAATTTCATTTCACAGCAATCCCACGGGCTTTTTCTCTTCAGAAAGCAGAAATTGAGTCCAATTTCAGCTCAGCATCAACTGCAGTTATTTAGCTAAAACTCTTGCATGTCTTTCTTGTACAGGCTGAGCAAGGATGCAAATAAAGCAAGTAATCAAGACCTTTGGGGGAGCTGGAAGTGGGGTTTTTTTCAACTGTCACTTAAGCACTTGAATAGCTCTGTTCTTCCTAGTGAATTCAAGGCTTCTCATCTTTCTGCTGCTCTTCCCTTACTGTGCTCCAGAGAGTGCTGTTCTCCCAGACGGAGAGATCCAGCCCCTTGCACCGTAGCCAAACGCCTGGATGTAGTAGCACATGACATATTTTTCTGTGAACAAGATGAACCAGCTAGGGGCAATATTCCTGTGCCCTAGAGCTAGTTTTACTTATTTCCTATTCAT